AGACTCAGGGAGATTTCTGAAGTTGAGTGCCAGAGCCCTATGAGAACTTGGGCAGAATACCCATTTGCACAGGCCTAAGAGGCTCCTACACGACATGGGAAATAAGAACCCCATGAGCTTTGGAAACACATGGAAGAGCCCAAATTGGTCATTAGGGAGAATGGGAGGGTCTGAGGTGGAGCCATGCTCCTGGCTAAAGGAAGAGATGTGCATAAAAGGGAAACCTCTGAGAGCCAGAGCCAGAGCCCCACTGAGAGCAGACAACAGAATGATGTGGGACCTGGGGGATGCTAAGGCCCAGGGACCTTGGGAGCTCTAGCAAGCTTGGGGGAATTCTGTCAGTGTTGCTGTCAGGTTTGCTGCCAATCCATTTAGTGTCTTTTCAAGAAGTAGAAAAAGGTTTCCCTTCTCCCCAAGGTGGACTCATCTCTGCTCTAGGATACATAGATTATGAATCAGTGCATGGACTAGATTTCAGCTCCCACTTGCTCAAGTGGCCAGAGCCCTTTTTCAGTCCACAATCTGCCCAACTGTACATAGAGGTGCTAAATGGATTGAGAATTTCCTTTCACTAAATGCAAACCTTGTGCCCACACATAGAATTATTTGGAGAGAGCAAGATACTATTATGCAAAAAGACGGTAAGGATTGTATTTGTAGATAAAAGTTGTTTTAAGGGATGTAAACTAATAAAAGATAGAGAGATGGTAAAGGATAGTAGACTTGATCTCTCCAACTTCTAAAAATATCTGCCAATGGGAATAATATTTACCTAGTCCCTCTTGTAGCCTGTTCCTATAGAAATGATTGCATGCTTGTGCAACCACAGGCAAGTTCATTAGACCCTCTGGGTATCAGTTTCTTCATCCTGGAGGTGTGATGAGGATTTAAAATGTTGATACATGTAAAGCTTAGAACTGGGTATGGAACTTAGTACTTACTCCATAAATGTTAGTTATTTTTATTACTTGTATCATTCAGTGTTAATGAGAATGTTAAAGCTGGTGTGTCTGTAGAGGCGATCTGGGAGCATTTATGCAGAAAATGGTTTTCAAGTCAGGCCTTGAAAATGGGCATGGTTTCAAAAGGTAGAGAAAATTAGGGGAAGACAGTCTAGGCATTGGGAATAAAGGTGGAAAGGCACAGGCAACATTCGAGTGTAGTGAGCAGATCTATTGAGCAGCAACCGAATGGAATGTATGGCAGAGGACAGGAAAATAAGCCTGAAAGCTAAATTGAGGACATGCAATTAAGGAGTACAGAATTCATTCTCTCTCTCTGGTCAGCAATGAAAGCCAAGAAAGATTTAACTTGCAACCTTCTGCAATCTGGCTCCCACTCTATGGAATCTCTTTTCTCAAAGGTCTTCTAATTCAGTGCTTCTAAAACTTGAAAGTACAAACCAGTGACTTGGGGACCTTCCTGAAATGCAGGTTCTGATATGGAAGGTCTGGAGTAAGCTTAGCCTGAGATCCTATATTCTTAACAAGCTTCCAGGCGCCACCATGCCCCTCCCTGCTGCTCATCCATGGACCAACTTTGAGTACTAATCCAATGGCCTCTTCTCCATCTCAACCTTACCCCCTCTGCAGTATTAGGCCTTGTTGATCTTCCTGATGCTCTCATCATTGGCTTCTACTTACTCACCTGAATTTTATGCTATTACTTGAAGCTAAGAATGCAGACTAGGAGCCTGCTCTATAAAACTCCAGTACATATTGTCTTCTCTTGAGCACAGCTTTCATCATATAAAACAAAGCTGCCATTGATAACAATATCTATATATAATAGCTATAGCTACAAACTCAAGGCCAGTCTTTAGATGTGTATTGTCCAAGCAACTATCAGTGCATCATTTGGTCTCTTAAATGCAAATATTACAAACCACCTTTTAACAAAAGACACATGTATATCACTATAAAAGACACCAACTGCCCATCTCATGAAGTGTTTAAGCTTCTTTGGAAAATAATCTCCCCCGAGATCCTCACCCCTCCCTGCGGGCACTGGCTACAACTGATTGGTGCAGAGGTGGGCCCCTGACCAATACTGGGTTATTTTGAGTCCTTCCTCAGCATTTTACACTGGGACTGAAAAATAAGCAAGTTAGTCTCTTGTTTTCTTTACAGAAGTCAAGAGCATGTAAGCTCAGGAGCTATTAGGGGCAACATTCTGACACATGAACTGAAGAGCAGAAAACAGCAGTCATCTGTGAGAAAGAAAACTGATGAATATACCAGGAAGGAACAGGGAAATGTCTCCAAAGCTTGGCACCCTGACATCCTTGCTCATCTCCACAGAGACCATGTAGGCAAGGCTTGACCACAGTCTGACCTGAGTCTTAGCAGAATGCCCTGTGATTTCTTCTAACATAAGGGAAGATAAACAGCCTGGTGAGGAGCTGTTGGGAAGCTGTTTCTCCCATTATCCTGTGGAAGACTGACACAAGGCCATTTCTCATCCATCTCCCTAGTTTCAGTTCAGCACAAGACTTTCCACCTCATTCCCACTTAGGGTAAAGCTGCAGACTTCAGCGTAAGTCTATAAAACTCCTCAACAACAGAGTGACCCATCACTCTTACCATCTGTTATCTGGCTTCTTCAGTTCTGTGTTGTCTACAGAACAAGGGGCACAGGGAACTGACACCACAATGACTTGCTTTTGCTGTCTGTGTAAGTAATTAACTGTCTGAATCCATTTGGTCACGTTTGCTCCTCACTGGGCAAATCTATGGAAGTATGACAAGCCATCCTAATGGCTATAGAAGTATTACTTGGGACCCAGTTATTAGCCACCACCTTGCTGCCTTGGAAATGCTTAACCATTTGGCCAAGGGAAGAAGTAAGAAATGGCAAGAGTTCACTTCCTGAGATCCCCTCAGTGCTCCGGCTCCTGATTATAGTCAGTTCTCAGGAATGCATTTCAGACTTTGAATTCCATGAGATACCCTAGTATTTCTCCAGTAAACCTCTCCAGCTTCTTTTTTTTTTTTTACCCTTAAGAAAGCTAGAATGTATTTTTTACTACTTTTTATTGGAGTATAGTTGCTTTACAATGTTTTGTTAGCTTCTGCTGTACAGTCATAGAAAGTATTTCTAACCTTTACCATCGAAAGGTCATATAATACATACACACACTGGTGTTGCATTTGATGACAATATCAGTAATCAGAACTTCAGTGTTAGCAATTCAAGTGTATTTTGTTTTTATTAAAATTCTTCCTCTCGTATATTAATTTATTTTTGGCCCTTGACGTAGTATATGTAACATGATTAGCCTGCCTTATAAAAGCCCAATAAATATAAAGTTTTATGAAAATGTTATTGGCCAAGTGGGGAAAAAAATGACTTTTTCACTATGATGAAAGTATAAATTACTCTCATCATTTATCAATTGTAACTTCATAGTACTAAATATGTAAGTCAACTATGCTATGTTTAATTTATCTTATAAATGTACTGATTTTCATTCATATTAGTTACAATTGTAAGAACATGATGGAAAAACACATTATATTTATGCCAAATATGTATCATCCAACAAAACAGTGTAAGTAGGATTAGAGTTTGATCTACTTTTAACATCCCTTGAGTTTAGCTGTGTCTAATACCCAGAATGATCATCCAAGCCAATATACAGATACTTATGAATCACTAGTCATAGGTTAGGATGTTCATCAATTAGCTTCATTTCCCTACTGGGCCAGCTGAGTTATATTTGATCAGGGTCATGGACTCTGAATCAAGCCAAGTCAGGGACAGCTGGCAGAGTCTTGGACATTGTGGAAATTTGACCAAAATGGTGTACAAATTGGTGCAAATTCATCATCACTACTGGGAAACAACTAAAAAAGTAGAAAGTGGGGTCACTGACATCATAACAACAAATAGACATAGCACAATTACATATAAGAAATGAATGCCTTGATTGCCGTATTAATGAGATGTCATCTTTAGGAAAGTGTAGAGATTGTTAAGTGATATATCTGGCTGCTTGTGGTACTCCTAGATGCAAGGAGTTTGTGACATGATGATAACTAGTCATAATTTGTCCAAATTTGTTTGAGAATAAAATTTACTAGTCAAACATTAGACATCTAGTCATCTTAATATGATTTACTAGTGTTACCATAATAATTTATTAAGAGAATAGTTACATTTATAAAAATGTTTTATGGTGATGAGTGAATTATAGTAATTATTTTATATATTCATAATAAAAAATGCATCACAGTATGTAAGATTAAATTTTCAATCAACTCATAATTTATATTTTAAAATATCTTTAAAATACGTTCACATAACATAATCCCATGGGTAACTTTCTCTAGCCACTTAGTCATTATTTCCATGATTAGTTATAACAGATTTCTTCCTAAAGGTTTTTTCCCCCCAGCATAACTCTCCATAAATTAATGTGAACCTATCATATCAAAGGTGTTTACATGTGCTAATATATTCATTTAATTTTAATATGCTTACTAAGGCACGAATAGCTGCAAGCAAGCTAGCATTGCATGCAATAAGAAAACCTGTGGAGTCCTGAGGTAACATACTTTAACGAGGGAGGTAGGAATTACATACGATCTGAGTTAGCCGGGGAAAGAAGAGGCTACAACTGATAGCACAACTAAGTCAGCTAAGTCTGACGCCAACTGGATCATTTCAAATAAAATAGCCAGCCAGGCAAAAAGGCCTCCTCCAAGTCGCAGGCCTTGGGGCTGCCTGCCTTGCTTTACAGGCTAGGAACACAGAAGGTGGGGAACCCGAGAGCGGCCAGCGCGGGCGCCGTGGCGACTTGACCTGGGACACCCGCCGCCCGCCGCCCGCTCCCGGCCTCCTTTGCTCGCGCGCTCCGCGGGCTCGGGCTCGGCAGGCTCTGCCCCGGGAGCGCGGAAGGCAGAGGAAAAAGGCAAAACTTCGGTGGGGAGACTTGTCTGAGAAACGTTTTCGGAACACGCGAAGGGAAAAACGACTAGCCCCCGGCGGGGCGGCCTTACCAGCGGAACCACCGGCCAGGATCTGCCGAGAAGCCTCGTTCACGAAGCCGACAGCGGGCTTGGCCGACATCTTCGCAAGCCAGACTACCACTGCTTGGGCTGAGATGCGTGGGCGAGCTCGCCAGCCTGAATGCCGGCCTGCAGAGCCTCTCCTGAGCGAGAGTGCCGGGGCTGGGTTAGTCCTTGGGCCGGGGGGCTCCCTGTGGGGCGGCAATCCGGCGACTGCTCGGAGGCGGCGGGCGGTTTGGGCCACAGACTCAACGCATGATCTCCGGCGGGTCGGGACCTGCTTGTTGCGCTGCTTCAGGTGCTCCTTCTCGACCCCGCTTTGCTCCCTGGGCTCCGGGAGGGATCCTGAGGGAGAAAAGACCCGCGGATGGAATTGGGTTGGTCGACCGCCGCAGGTCGGTTTGGTCTCCTAGATTGGCGCCCACGGGTTTCCCTATCAGGAGCCTTCTGCAGAGTTTATCCAGCTGGCCGCTCTGCCTCTGATAACGCAAGTAAAAAAGTGATCCTGGCCTAGAACTCCAGCGGCAGGGCCCAGGCGACCCCTGCCCTCTGGAAAGCCAGAGCACAGTGCAGTTCTAAAGAAGGGACAGGTGAATAAATTCCTTGGAGTTAGCTGTCCCGAAATTGTGGGCTATAGCAACTAAGTCAAAATAAATCCAATTTACAGGTATCTTACAATTGAGCTACTGTATATAGTACTTTTCTAAGAAATGGTTTTGGCTTAAGGCAATATATCTCATACCTCATCAACTTGAGTTTTATTTACTGAAAGACCAAAAAAAGGAAGGCCTTATTACAAATAAGTCTCTTCTATCTATTCCCCACGTCCGTGGGCATCAGCGTAATGTGTGCGTTTGTAAGAAAAGTAAATTCATGTTCCAGCCCTGACCTACTGAATCATAATCTCTGGATACAGGGCTCAGAAACCTGTGTTTTAATAAGTTCTCCAGTGGTTGTTATGAATGTTAAAGTTTGCGAACCACTGACCCAAATAATCAAGGAACATTAAGTAACTACTAATATATTCTCTGTAAAACGTTTACTTATTCATACTAGCCCTTTAGGATAGTTAGCAAAACAAAAATACTAGTTTATACTATTTTTAAACCACAAGTTGCAAAAACTCTGTAGGAGGGACACAGGTTCTCAAATTTTAGAAAAATACCTGCCACACCCCTAACAGGCAGGAAATGATAGGAGTAAAAGGGAGAATGAGACGCTTTGGAACCCTTATTGTCATATTTCTTAAACACGGTATTTAATACTAAACATATTCAGTGTGAACCATATAAAATTGCCATTTTTGAAGGCCACTGAATATCAGCGATATGTAATAAGGTTCAACTTAATATATATGATTTCCAATTAAATGTACAAAATACAATAATTGGTTTTATACTTTGTTTTAATTTCTTAGGCTGAGCTATTAAAAGCTGGCAATGATAATCTGACTGGCAAAATTATTTAAAGTGAGGAATTGGAGAGACTTGCTACTTATGTGATCAGGTACGCAAAAACAAATTTTCTCATATTTGATTAAAATTACTAAGTTTGAAATGTTTACCAAGAAATAGTTTCAAGAAAGTTTTGCTATTTAGATATAGTAAAAGCTTTTGAGCTATGTTTCAGTCTTTTACTAATTAAATATGAGGTCTTGAGTACAATATAAAATCACTTATTCATTCAAAAAATACTAGAACCTATTATATACTAAGCACTAAAATCAGAATTTCAGAGCTCATAGAAAATGTTTCCCTAATTTTCCACCGAAGAAACTAAGTTTCCCAAGATCACACCATAAGTTAATGGTATAGCCAGGATTCCCTCTTCTAATAGCCGTGAGATTATAGATTTAAATATTAACCACAGGCCAAATTACATTCGGTCACACTGAAACCTAAAATAATTAAATGCTACCAAAATTAATTTCATTTACTCATATGTAAGTAGAGAATTTTTTAAAGTTAAAGAAATTTGTTGGATTATTAAATACTATTAAACCCCAAGGCACACACTGAACCAAATTCTACATTCATTCATTGAGAGTCTACTGAGTGTCAGCATTATGAGCTGGCAAAGTAACAGTTAAAATCCCCCCTTGGAGCATATAATCTAACGGAAGAGATCATACCATGTTGCAACGTCCGTAAATTTTTGCCTTCCCTAGATTATTTCAGGAAATACAATAATACTCCCAGGTCAAGATTTAAAGACAGCCTTTTGACATCATCCATTATTTCCATGAATATCTTTTTTTTCATAAATATCTTAATCTCTGAATTTTTTTTTTTTTTTTTGGTACGCGGGCCTCTCACTGTTGTGGCCTCTCCCGTTGCAGAGCACAGTCTCCGGACGCGCAGGCTCAGTGGCCATGGCTCACGGGCCCAGCCGCTCCGCGGCATGTGGGATCCTCCCGGACCGGGGCACGAACCTGTGTCCCCTGCATCGGCAGGCGGACTCTCAACCACTGAGCCACCAGGGAAGCCCCCAATCTCTGAATATCTTAACCTGAGGAGGTGGGTGCAAGTTTGTGGTCTCACTAAGACCTCAATCTCTCAGGATCCCTACAGATTCAGTCAGAAGTCTCTCCCAGACATCTTTCCAAATACGCTGTTAGAAAATTGCTACCTCTTTTTAACCTCTCTGCACTAGAACAGATTTCTTTGAGTTAAAAAAAGCAAGGCCTGATATTACAGATAGTCTAGTCCTACATCTCCAGATTCGCTGAGGAGATAGGGCCTAGGTATTCTGGAGCTTGGGAGCCAGCCATTGTCAATCCACAGTCAACAAGTACACACTGTGCTAAGAGCTCTGATTATGGGGCATAGCTCTTATCTGTAGCCAAATTTGCCCATGGCCAGTATTGGAATGCTGGGAGATTTAGCACTGGGAGAAGTAAAATTTACTTGAGCTACTAGTTCAGATTCCTTAGACACAATCCATCACATTACTCTTTCTATTATTATTTTACATAATGCTGTAATGTCCTGATATTAGAGCAAAACTGCTAAAGTATCAAGCTTATATTTTTTAATTATTGATTTACTGTATTTAGCTGATCTTGGTTGAGAACTACATAATTAAATTATTGATTTATCAGTTTGCAAAGTGACTAGAAACTAAACCTTTGGGGACCTTAAAATACTTACTGAACTTAAGTATCTGACAATTTCTTTGATGTCTTTTTGGAATAAAGTTTTTGTATTGGGCCACTGGATCAGCTACTGTTCAAGACCAAAATAATAGTGACTTAAACAAGATAGAACTTTATTTCCCCCTCATGTAATGACACAATTGTAAGCCACAAATAAAGCTCGGGCCAGCAGAGAGGAAGGAAGGTAAGAAGGGTAAAGAAAGCCCTGGAAATTACATAAATCTCATTGGTTAGAACTTGGCCACTAGGGCTAAACCTAGGTACAAGGGAGGTGGGAAAGGTAGTATTTTGCCAGGTGACAATGTGTCCATAAAAAATATATATACCATTATGGAAAAAGGGAATAACATATTGGGAAACAACTAGCAGTGTCAACCACGGTGTGGGAAAAGGTTTAGGAACAAAGAGCTGTACTTTAAAATTATAGTATTTGCTCATTTTGAAAGATTTTGTTTTCCTCAAGTCTAAAGTTTATCTTCATCAGTTTCTAACTGGAAAATGCTATATAATCGCATGGTACTCAATGTACTATAACTGGGAGTCACATTTTAAAATACCATTCCCTGAAAGATACATAGCCATTGTAGGCTAGAGACTCTCTTCTTTAGATGTCAAAACACACTCTCTAGGGCTTCCCTGGTGGTGCAGTGGTTAAGAATCTGCCTGCCAATGCAGGGGACATGGGTTTGAGCCCTGGTCCAGGAAGATCCCACATGCCGCAGAGCAACTAAGCCCGTGCACCACAACTACTAAGCCTGTGCTCTAGAGCCTGCGAGCCACAACTACTGAGCCCACATGCCACAACTACTGAAGCCCACGTGCCTAGAGCCCATGCTTCACAACAAGAGAAGCCACCACAATGAGAAGCCCGCGCACCGCATTGAAGAGGGGGCCCCACTCGCCACAACTAGAGAAAGCCCGCATGCAGCAACGAAGACGCAACACAGCCAAAAATAAATAAATAATTTTTTTTAAAAAAAGATTATTCACTAAAACATTTTTAAAAAAACACTATCTGTATACACACAGACACACAAATGCAGAATTTAGCATACATGGAGCCCATCCATGGAATACGGTGGGAAGTTGGGAAGAGTTGCCTGTGGATACCAGATTAAGAAATCTTGGCCAATAGAAGAGATTATAACTCTTGAACTATTCAAAAGACCTATTATTCTAGAATATTCTTATGCAGAAGTATTAGAAGTATTAAAGAAATGCTGTTTGCAAATGAAAGACTCTTATGTGCTTTAAAATCTGCGGGTCTGAGTATCACTGCTGTAAGCTCTCAGTGATTTATAACTTACAGATACCAAGGCATCATATCATTTAGGACAGATCTTAGGTTCTGATGCATTAGATTATCCTATCACCTAACAGAGCACTTCTAAGTTCCAAGGGACTTTAAATGGGCAGTATGGACAAAATAATTACTTGGGAAGCTTTTTTCAATATATTATTGTGACATAAGAACAACACTTAGAGGCCATTTATATTACAGAGTTCTGTTATTTGAGATGTAACTGTGAATCTAGGAGTTAAGGCCTCTGAGCTGTCAACATGCAGAAATCCATGCAGTTTCCTCCTAGGAGCTTCCCAGGTTCACTTGGAACTAATTTTAGACCCAATTCTAAAAAGGTTGATAGGGTAGATATCTAATATCTTGGTTCACAGCAGATTAGAAAAACCAAACTAAGAGAATAGGGCAGGGACCTTCCTGGTGGCAAAGTGGTTAAGACTCCACGCTCCCAATGAGGGGGCTCAGGTTTGATCCCCAGTCAGGGAGTTAGATCCCACATGCATGCCACAACTAAGGAGCCAGTGAGCCGCAACTAAGGAGCCCATCTGCCGCAACTAAGGAGCACACCTGCCACAACTAAGAAGCACGCCTGCCACAACCAAGACCCGGTGCAACCAAATAAATAAAATAAATAAATATTTTAAAAAGAGAATAGGGCAGAGGGAAATCAGACAGATTATAGAAAAATGAAGAGCAATCTGTAAACTTCAGGCCATATTCAGCCTGCCTTGCAAATTGTAATAACTACAATATTCATGTAATGCTTACTTATGCAAGGCACTGGGCTAAGAATTTCATTACCCATTATCTCATTCATAATATCATAGAGATATTCTTATTCTCATCTCACAAATGAGGAAATTCTGGCACAGAGGTTAAGTAACTTTTGCC